CTGCCTTGTGTACTCTACCTATGTGGGTATGCGAACATGCATGTGCACCCTCGCACTTGCTTAGAACTAGGGCCCAGAATAATTACCCATACTATCCCGAGGTTCCTTATTATCGAGTTATAGTACTATAGACCCCAAAGCCCTATTCTAAGTATTAAGGCCCCTTTATATTAAACTTCCCAGCGCTGAAGAGCAGGACCCTAAACCCTAAACCCTAAACCCCTAACCCCTAAACCCCTAAACCCTAACACCCTAAGCAATAAACCCCTACACCCTAAGCAGGACCCTGAAACTGCTGTCGCAGGTGGCCCAGCTGGTGCAGCTCCTGGGCTCCGAACCGCTTGGGCTGGGCTTCTTTTTGGTTCAGGCACTGATACTTCCTGAAGGGTTTTGGGTCCTGGGGCCCTGGGTTTAGGGTTTTAGGGGTTTTGGGTTTGGGGCCCTACTGTTGATGATATAAATCCTGCAATACCTTAAGGATCCTAACCTATGGGAACTATGGTATATTCCTTATTATGGTTAATGCAAGATTTATATCATCAGCCGTACTTCCTGTAGATAAGGAAGGGTCTTCTCATGCGAAGGCTAAACCCTAAACTCTAAGCCCCCTAATGTGGGTAGTTCTCTGCATTAGGGTCCCTTTTTGGGGTCCTTTTTTTTGTTTAATAAGGGTGCCGTACTACATTGGGGACCCTACTTTAGAGAACTTACCCATCTCCAACATCCCAACCCTAACCGACGAAGTTGGAGCTTCTATTGGATTCTGCAGACTTCTGGCAGCCCTCGCAAAAGCCACGGCTGCCTAGCAGTTCTCAGAAACAGAGCCTGATGTTGATCATATGGGGGTTGAGGGCTTATGGTGTCGGGTTTCGGCTGCAGCTTCGGGGGTTCAGGGTTTGGGGATCATCACAACCCCAATCTGCACCGTAGCTAGAAGTGCTCCAGCAGAAACCACACTGACAGCAATGTGGCTTTCGAGAACGAGAGTCAGCATAGCTGTGTCCTTGCTACTTGTCGTAGCCTCAGCGACTTCGGCAGGTCCTAGCTACTCAACTACGTCTACAAACTCGCGAGCTTGCATCGGTGTAGGAGAGAGATGAGTCCCTTGCCTAGAACAAGTCACACAAGAAGTGGGACTGAGCACCTCTTGCAGCTCAGGCTGCATCAATCCCCGGACTCCCCAACCCTGAAGCCCAATCTCTTAAGGCAGAACAGCGCCATAAACCTCACCACGGGAGATTGCCTGAACCCTACCCTGGACCCCAAAAAGTACGTAGAATAATAGCCTTTTTTAATAGGTGTTGGGCCATCCATCATTTTAGCTACTTTTTGGGGGGTTCAGGAAACCCTTAAACCTTAAATCCTAAACCCTATAAACCCTATAAACCCTAAACCCCTAAACCCCTAAACCCCTAAACCCTAAACCCTAGAAGCCCTAAACCCGAGTACACCCACCCAGGCTCGTTTATGGCGCCCGCGCCAGCGCCCAGCTCCCAGAGGCGGAGCATTGGCTCCTGCGAGCCCGGGCTCCCAGCTAGTCTTAGGGTTTAGTATTTAGTAGGGTTCAGGGTTTATTAGGGTTTAGTAGGTTTAGTAGGGTTTAGGGTTCTATAGGGTTTAGTATGTAGTAGGGTTCAGGGTTTAGTAGGGTTTAGTAGGGTTTAGGGTTCGGGATTTAGGGTTCTATAGGGTTTAGGGTTTAGTAGGGTTTAGGGTTTGGTAGGGTTTAGGGTTTAGGAGGGTTTAGGGTTTAGGAGGGTTTAGGGTTTAGTAGGGTTTAGGGTTTACGGGTTTAGGGCTTAGGGGGAGCCCTTTCTATTTGGGAAGGGGATGGGGTTAAGGAAGCGGGAGGGTTGAGGGGGAAGCTAGCTAGACTCTCCTAAGCGCCGAACTCTGGAACAAGGAAGCCAAACTCCTCGAGTTTGCCTTCACATGCTTCTTGCACAGGTAGCTTTAAGTGATGTTATAAGTCCCTGTATATATGTATGTAGGTAGGTAGGCAGGTAGGTAGGTAGGTCGGTAGGTAGGTAGGCCCCAGCTTGTGATAATAGCTACCGATGATTCCTCCAAGTGGTCAGTTCTCCACAACAGGCTCGCTTTTTTCAGGTCCTCAAGAAAGTTCGGCGCCCTGATATTACAAAGGACCCCCCAAAGGGACCCTAATTTAGAGCACTACCCAAGCAGGCATCGCGTTCAGACAGAGCCTGCCTGGTGTGCGGATTTGGGGTTTGGGCTATGTGGCGAACCCTAAACTCTAGACCCTGAAGCCTTAAATCGCGCTAAACTTCATAAGCCCAAGACCCTTAGAATCCTAGACTGAACTTTGGCCCTAAACCCAAGACCACCCTCCTTAAGGACGAAATGACCCTTAAAAAGTAGGGGCCCTATACCCTCATACTATGAATCCCTATATGGTATATGAACCCTAAACCCTTTTAGGGTTCTTTTCGTCCTTAAGGGCTTAAGCCCAAAGCCGCACAGCTGATCTAATCCAATCCGTCGACTTGCCGAGATGCCCGGCACCTCTGACAAACTTCTTCATCTTCCGAGCTGCGAGTTTCTCTGGCATGCTTTTACCTAAATTTTGGCCTAAATCATTCTCTATGCTATTTTTGGGGGGGTTCCTTATTATAATCATAGTCTAACTTGCTTGGAACTAGGGGCCAAAATAGTTACCCATACTATCTTGAGGTTCCTTATTATAGCTTATAGTACTATAGACCCCCAAAAACCCTATTCGAATTACTAAGGCCCCTACATGACGGCTCTTTCTTTGGGGTGCCTACAGGGAGTTTTGGGTTTCAGGGTTGGCAGGGTATAGGTTACAGGTTTCGGCATTCAGGTTTAGGGTTCAGGTTGCAGGTCTCCCAAAGGGTTCAGGGTGCAGGTCTCCCAAAAGGTGAGAAGTCGAAGGGAAGACGATACCCGGTGCTTCCGCGGCCATCGCTGTGATGGCGCAGATCCTCGGAGGTGGCGCAGGGGGGAGAGAACGGAAAGCACTGGGGGCAAATGAGTGCTTGGAGATTGGTCAAGACGGTAGAGTTTTCGTGGTGGTGAATCACCACGATAGCACATGCATATATTTGTGTGTAGATACATATAATACATAGATTCGATAGCAATCATGCTCACAACAATTCGTCTACATGTTTCTGATCCCAAACACAACTCTTCGCAGCAGTAGCTATGACAAATGACATCGAGAATCATGCAGACCCATGTCAAATGAACACGCTTTCCCGACGGGCTTAACAACAGCCACCGATGTTTTGGCCTGATTACGCAGATGTCCACATTAATCTTGATGCTTGCAAAACCCGCCCACAGGCCCTAAACCCTAAACCCCAAGCCTTAAGCCCTTTTTGCCCCAAGCCCCAAACGAAAACCTTAAGCCCGTATAGAAGCCACATAGCAACCCTAAGCCCTAAACCGTATAGAACAACCCTAACATGGGGCGACTTTCGATGACGAGCCGAGGCTTCGCGTCTTAGAGGACATCCCGGCTCTTGCGCACAGCTCTGTGAGCAAGGCCTTGCCTTTGGGGCTTACGGGGTTTATAGGGCCCACAGGTTTTATGGGTTTACGGGGTTTAAAGTTTAGAGCTTGCCGGGTTTATTGGGTTTTATAGGGTCTAAGGGTTTATGGGGTTGTGATGGCTTTGATTCCGGGACATGTGGTACAGTTTTTTGGTTGTTGGCTGCAGCTCCAGGGCCTCCAGGCCCGTAGTTATGGGCCAGCGCAGGGTCTCCGACGATTTTCTTGATGTGGTACTCTGATAGATGGTTGCCCATTGCACAAGAACCTGGGCTTAGATCTGTTCTACGTCCAACCTACAGACTCTGCGGATCCTACTACTACTTCCACTCCAAGTTGCAAAACTCCTAAAAGCAGCTGCCGAGATGAGGGCTTGGGTAAGATAGTGACTACCGGCACGGTGCCCCTCCAAGAGTCAAGTGCAGTAGTTCAGAGTTCAGAGCTCTCTCGGGAAATCGGCGTCATGTTTAATACTGTTTGTGGTCGGAGACGGCATTTTCACGCATCATGGATGACTGGGTGTGGACGACGCGTGTGTGGGCCGTTGGCTCAAAATCTTGACATGTCAGCAAGCCCTTGGTGAGTGAACTTGTACTACAAAGGGGGTCTGAGCAGTTAGGAACGGTTCAAGCCTCGATCCTGCCTACGCATCTCTCCTGAAACGCTTGAAACGTTCTGGCGAGCCCAGCATGGACGAGCAGACGGCCATGGAAGCTGGCCAAGAGGATGAAGCCGGCCAGGAGGATATGTTTCGAGACTATCATCGTGTTTGTGTGCGCAGCGCCGTGAATGGCGAGGCTTCGTCAACGTCAACATGTTCATGTCGTTCAGGGTTTAGGGGTCCGACTTTGCGGTAGAGCACTTTACTACACAGAGTTTGCACGCTCTTGCCACCTCCTTCTCCCGCTGCCTTGGATGCCCAGTTCGTTGCAGAATGTTGTGAATCGGCTGCCGCTGTGTTCTGCGTATTTTTGTGGTGGAAATCTTGCTCCCGCTGCAGTGAAGCGATCATAATTTGGTTGTCGCGTCGCTCGAACGCCCCCCATGCAGCTGGATGAGCAGTTCTAGTTCTAGTAAAACTACCTCAACTCCGATGTTTTAAAATTCAGGCCGCCATGGCCGCGCCACATGATTCGCATTTTCAGCTCGCGCCGTGTTGTCTCGAAGTCCTGTGGTTGTAGGGGATTTGGAATGGAATTTATCAACACAGTGGCTTGACAATCGCGCTCTCGCCCCAGTGCGGGTCGTTTTCGTGGGATGCGACGTCTTCCCGCCACAGTCCGCTAAACTTCGGCCTCAAGAAGTGGTGCTCCCACCACAGGTCCGTGCGTGCTCTGCAGGGGTGCCAATGGTGCTCCCACCAACAAATGGTCCACGTGGTTTGGAATCTTGGGCATGTAGAGGGCTTCGACCGCTAGGCGCTCTTTTCCCTTCTAAGGGTGGAAGGAAGTTTGCATCCCGACGAGGTATTGGCTGAGCTTTTTCTTGATCGTGACACTCCTCTCGTCGAGGATGCTGAGTATAGCCTACGAGACTTGCATCCCTTTCGGCTTCTCTACGAGGGCCGAAACTGTGATCACAGCACTCTTGCCGACCTCGGTATTCCACATGGGTCTGATGTCTCGGTCGACCTCGTCCGGCTCCCGAAGCCCAAAGAGTTCAAGAAGCTTGGTGACGTCGACGTTCGTTCCGAGGGGTACCACTGTCATGATAGCTATATGGTCCGACTGGCATGCCAGGATCCCCAGCGATTCTGTCTGGGTTTCTGTCGCCACTTTCAAGGGTCGGACTTTCATTCGCACATGCAGGAGATCAGGGAAGGGAAATACAGGGGAAGGGGAGATGAGCCGTCCTTCGAAGAAGTTGTGGTGGTGGATATGGTCGCAGAGAAGATCCTGTCGGGGGAGAGCATCCGGAATATGATCCGCAGTGTCTGTTGCTATCGTGACCAAGGGATTGGCGGCTTCAGGGTCGTGAAACCTTTGGCACTCGCCGAAGATGACAGCGTTTACCTCCTAACAGCGATGAATGGCGCAGGAGGTGCTCAAGAGTACCAGATATATTGTGCTGGACACAACTCGCAAAACACGGATCCAGAATCACTGGAACTTCTGTTCAATGCTGCAGACATGTGTATCTTCAACTGCATATTCGCGAAGGGCTGCTTGTTCGCTCTTGCCGCCAAAGCCGACGGCGAGAGTAACTAGGTGAAACTTTGGAGGACGGATTCATCACCCTTTAGTTGTTAAAAGGTATCCATTCATGACAACACTTTTGATGGCCTTTAAATTGCGACCCAGGTAAATACATACTGGAGCTGAGACTTTGTGAAGGCCAGTTTACTGAGCTACGGCGGGTTCCTCTCGTGCTCCCCAATTGCGAGGGCTGGTCTCAGTACGACTGCAGGCCTCGTTTCCTTTGTCTGGACGATACAGGTGATGCACTGTGGGTGAACAGCAATGTTGCTCTGCTTGTACTTCCGATTGACACCTTGGAGCCTCATACCTGCTGCCTGTGGAAGGACCTGCGAGTGGCAGAGCCACGCGAACACTTGAAGCTGCATGTTAGGAGTGTGCTGCTTCACAAACAGACACGGGAAGTTTATCTACTCTTTGATAACAGCACCGGTGTCTTTCACAGTCGCTATCAGACTGAGGTTGATGATCTATCAATCTTTGATCCTTGTTTCGTTCGGCGCCTGCTCCCTTCTCCAGAGATTGGGCCACCTTGGAAAGTGTGTTATGAAGATCTTCCAGGCGACAAAGTTGCCACTGCCGATTTGTGTATTGATGGCTTCTCGGACTCTTTCTGCATCACTGAGTCGTACATGCTGGAGTCCCCCTCTGCGCAGCAGCTGCAGGTCTTTGACGCAGGGGGCGGCTTTTGGGAACTGAAAATTTAATAAAGATACCTATAGGCTCCATTATAGTTCCTTTTCGCGGTTTAGGTTTAGGATCCTATATAAGGTAATCCCAAAAAGGAACTACAATGGAGCCTGTGGGTACAGGCCTCGGCGCGCGTCTAGAAAGCACCCCCAGTTGCGGGCCACAAGCAGGCGAAGAGAGCGGCTACCGAGATGACACCGGACAGATACGCAAGTACATGCGCAAGGACCCAAATGAGTTGCAGTGCTTTGAGCTACAACCGGAGAAGAGGCTACTTTTAAACCCCGGCTGTCTTTGTTTTGCGGCTTAGGATTGAAGCGTTTGACTCCGACCCTCTATGACGCCCTAACCCCCCAGATACCTACTATATAGGGTACTAGAGCCCCTAGGGCCCTCTATAGTAGGTACCTGGGAGGTTAGGGAGAGCCCCTTGATTTTCGGGAGGCAGGTTCTGCGGTGCCCAAGGAGAGACGGAAGCTGCACTGGGAGGCCGCAGCTGTTAGGGGGGGGGTGTAATTTTCGCAGGTAAAGGCTTAGGGGGGTTTAGGGTGTAGGGTTTAGGGTTTAAGTTTAGGTATAAGGGTCGCTATCGGGGTCGCTGCTCGCGTCACGGGCTTACTGGAGAGGGGTTCTTGTGGGATTTTGATGGCTTTGGGGGTATTGGTCCTCCCAAGCCTCGTGGTGTTGACTCTGTTGAGAAAAGAAACGAGGCCTCAACAGCGGAAGAGTCCTTCTATCCTAAGGCTCTAAGGGTCCATGTACTCATATAATATATACATTGGCCTTAAGGTAGTCCTTATATAGGTACATTGGGGCTAAAGTATATAGTATTTGGCCAAGCAGCATGTCCGGCTCAAGGATGGGATAAGTGACAACGGCTTCCCGATGACATCCAGTCAGCACGGGGCCCACCTGGATTTCAATAATGAAGTCGATCGATATATATATATATATTGTATAAATTACAGGCACATTAGCGCATTCATGCTACTTAACTTCGCAGGCTGTTTAGAAGAAGTCGTGTGATGTGCTTGGTCACATGAAACAGCACGAAAAGATGCATGGGCGTCACCACATTCTGCAGGTATGATCGGGTCAACACATTGTCGGCCTTTCTTTAGTTCTGTCGAAGCTTCGTCACGTTTCCTAAACCCTAAACCCTCCACTGCGGCACACCCTTGCCCGAACTTCGTTTGTCCAATGGTTAAGCCTTTAGGGCAACTTTAGTTCATTGGTTTAGTCGTGCAGCACGCAAGAAGCTCTACTTGGAGGCTCATGGGCAGTCATAAGTGGGGTTAGCGGTCCTCTAATATTGGTTAGAACTTTAGTTACTGTACATGTGATTCCACCCATAACTGCTCATGAGCCCTTTGAGCCTCCAGTAATTTGGGGGCCTTAGTGATTACTATACTTTTTTGGGGATTCCATATTACAACTACAGTATGTTATAAGAACCCTATTCTAATTATTAAGGCCCTTACATTAGTTGTCAAAGAACCGCATTCTCGAAGGTTCAGCTATGCGAGAAGCCCAGCGAGTTCAAGGACATGAAGTTCAGGGCAAGACCGATTTACTGTCACCGACTGCAAGGGACGCATTCTATACACTCCACCCTTATAGTAGCCTTTGTAGAACCAGCAAAATGTTGCTGTACGAACCAGTCTAGTAACCCTTGCAAATTTCAGAACCCCGGAAACAAATAACCCGAAACATAGCTTTACTATTACTATCAGTTTCTGTACTATATTACTATAAACGGGACCTAGCAGAAGGAGCGCGCTCCCACGCGAATGTCCATGGCGGAGCGTCGAGCATCCGGAGAAGCGAGGCGGCCTCATCCGCATGTTTAACATGTTTGTTTAATTTAGGGACCTTAATGATGAGAAAAGGGTGCTTTCGGGGCGTTTACAGGGGCCTTAATATTTAAAATCGGATTTTGGGGGATAGTTATAGTAGCGACCTTAGGGACTCGTATTGTGGTAACGACGTAACGACTCAACTGTTCAGGCTTCTATGGTAACATACTAGCCTGGGTATTCACCAACTTCAAAGCTGTCCGGCGGACTCCGCATCTTCCTCTGAAGATGTTGGGGATCGGTCCCTAGGGCGGTGCATAAACCATGATGCCAGCCCGAATGTGCCAGTGTACGTGGTGGTGACATCTAGATCACTATCAGTTGCAGTGAAGCCCTGGGACTAGAAGACTGGAGCGGATCGACAGACTATTGAACAGTTGCCTTGCGGATACAGCGTTACTACATCGGTTCGCAATGGGGTTTGCAAGTCAAACGTTCACATCAGCCGATTAACACTTAACAGCGAATATTCGGCTGGGGCTGGGGCGACATGGGGTCAGCTGGATGAGATGCAGCAATCTTTCAGGCACATCTGCTGGTGCAAGGAATTTCGCATGTCGTAATATTTCTACCGCCACCACCCCCACCCCACCAGCATCACCACCACCAGCGACAGCAACAGCACCAGCACCAGCACCAGCACCAGCACCAGCACCAACACCAGCACCACCAGCACTAGTCCTAGCATCCTAGCACTAGCACCAGCAGCACCAGCAGCACCAGCAGCACCAGCAGCAGCACCAGCAGCAGCAGCAGCACCACCACCACCGCCACCACCACCACCACCACCACCCCAGCAGCCGCCGCCGCCACCGCCAACAACAACAGCGGCAGCAAAAGACACAAGAAGCAACGACCGCGACAATGCAAACGACAATGACAACAAACGGCAGCACCAGCAGCAGCTGCTACGGTTGCTACGACTACAACAACTACAGCAACAAAAAACATCAGCCGCTGAAGCCCGAACCCTGTCAGGCGTTCGCTTCCCGGCCGTGGCTATCCGAAGTCGGCTCCGAAGGCCACAGAGGCCGAGGTACCACCGCCTCCGTGGCAGAAGTGTTGCTTCTGTTTCTATGGATACTGGCAACTGTGCCTTTGAGGTTTCACTTTCAGTGATGAGATACTGTTACTGTTAGTCTTCTTCTTGTCGTGATCAGTTTTATTTCACCTTGGCGTGAATTTCCTGCTATTGTTTGATTTGCTGATATGCAACATACCTCGCCTCCGGGGCTTAATGCTGCTACTGCTGCTGCTGCTGCGGCGGCTGCTGCTGCGGC